ATACACCGACACGCGTCTTTTATTCTGCAAATGTAATATAGATAGAACTTTCGGTATTTATGACAAGGTACCCGAACAGTCTGTACCCGAACAGACTGTCCACGCGTCGAACAGACGAACACGCGTCATTTATTCTGCAAAATTAATGTAATATAGATAGAACTTTCGGTATTTATGACAAGGTACCCGAACAGTCTGTACCCGAACAGACTGTCCACGCGTCGAACAGACGAACACGCGTCATTTATTCTGCAAAATTAATGTAATATAGATAGAACTTTCGGTATTTATGGCAAGGTACCCGAACAGTCTGTACCCGAACAGACTGTCCACGCGTCGAACAGACGAACACGCGTCATTTATTCTGCAAATGTAATATAGATAGAACTTTCGGTATTTATGGCAAGGTACCCGAACAGTCTGTACCCGAACAGACTGTCCACGCGTCGAACAGACGAACACGCGTCATTTATTCTGCAAATGTAATATAGATAGAACTTTCGGTATTTATGACAAGGTACCCGAACAGTACCCGAAGGTACCGTAAAGTCTGTGCATCAGTTGATGATACACAGAAATCTGTGCATCACTTCGTGATACCTATGGTGCCTAAAGTGGATTTGCGCCCCCGAACACCACCCCGATACCACGGCTACGTTTAAACGTCGAAGTGAAATATAGGCAGGACGAATACGGAGGTAACACGACAAAGACGTCAATTAATGTTCGCAAAAACATCGCTGAGAACTAAAGACCTTTAGTCTTTTGCAGTTGGGTGTGAGAGGGTAAATTATACTCGGCATGTTATCATACTTTTTTGCTTCATTATGTTTTACTTAGCATTTTATTATTTTTCATTCATATTTCATCATATATTTCTTTTATGCCCGTATGTATGTATTACCATTTCATAACCGTTAACAATACTTGAACAAACACATCCTTTAAATGTGACAGCATTTACATATTTATTTTGTTCAAAAAATTTGTACAAACGGCTAGCTAAGCTCGGTACCATTAAAATTTACACGACTCCAGTAAACACTAGTTATTTGACAGCACAAAAAGTTACGTACATGCAAAGATTATAAAAACGAGACGGCAGAGAAAATTATATTACAACACACGGTAACAACACTTCCGAGACGTAATGCCTGTCTTTACTTAATATAATTTATTATTAAATACTGAATAATCATCACTTGCAGTAGTTTTAAAAGAGAGCTTTTTCCGCAACTATTTCGACAGTGTACCATGGGCCGGTTCTGTTCTTCCAGTTTAATAGACTTTCATAGCCAATAAAATTCTGAACTTTTCGTGTAAAATTATTCTGTACATTTAATTTTCTAGGAAATTCAAAACATGGGGAAAACACTTTAAAACCTAGAATGAACTATGTCTACATTGACTTTTCCATTACCCACAAACATTGGTTCTGTACATACGCCATAGTATAAAACATATACGGTAGTTTCTACAGCATTACGACTTTCCAGGTACAGGAAAAACACAGGAGACACACAGGCACAAAAATGCCAATTCACTATTTACACTTATAGCTTAACCACTGCCCTTCTCACGTGGAGAGAGCATTACAAAAGTATGGAAGCAGGCATCTTAGTCACAAGCACCTTAGAACAGTTTCATGATGAGAAGTGTAAGAAATTATTATTGGGCTATTCTGCAAATAATAAATGATTTTAGTGTCCAGCTATTTTAAACATGCATATACAATCACATGGTCACTAGATTATTTTGTTTATAATGATTATGACGAATCAGCTTTGCATATTTGCTCAAGCAAAATAGGGTATACATGTACAGTTAATGTTATTGCCGTACATCTCTACTTAGAATTTAATAGTGGGCGTCTATTCCCGTATGGAGCCTGTACAAAATATCTAGTACTTCCACTAGTGCAGCCCCTTGGTGCAGCCAACCTCTCAGCATCATGAGCAGTTAGCGCCATCTAGTGGTTCGCAAGTACCACAGAAGTTCTTGTATGAAGGTGTCCCGCTGTAGCAATTGTTAATGTAATAGACCTACGGGGCGTTTTCCGTTACTGTGGCAGGGTGTCATGCATCAGTCTCAGCAATAGCATTATGCACTTGCTCTAGCTTGTAGGCAAGTCTATTCTTCCTGGAGAATTCATCGTCTTGTAGCGTTTGCATAAGCTGTAAGAAAGCATGTTGTTGTTATTAGTTTTCTATAGTTCAGTTTAACATGCTTCTGCTACCACAGTCAGGATAGCTCAAAGTTTGATCAAACCTAGAAGCTAAATTAAGATTGTAACTTGGGGATAACACCAATTACGAATATATTGGTAAGACATGCCAATAAGGTGGTAACAAACCTGTGCATACCCATGCAAATACATTCAAAAACATAATTAGCTATATATAATTATTATATTATATTAAATATATATAAAATATTATGGCAATGTTCTTATTTTTAAACAGAATATAATATGTGAATTCTGCCTAAACCACACCCAAAAAAGAATCAGAGGTGACTTAGACAGAAGACAGCAACGTTGACAATAATGGGAGCGTGAGGGTATAGTCCCTTACCTGGTCATTATATTTACAGGCATAGCCATACAGCTCGAATAGTGACACGTTCACGTTGAACTCCTCGACGTGAGTCTGCAAGGTAAACCGAAATCTTCTAAGCGTGAGTAGATAAAGCAGACGGAGCAACAGGACGTGGTCAATATTAGGTTTCCGTGCGAAATCTGACCTTTAGTGATTATCCTTATATAAATTACAAACAAAATCATTCATACGAAGGCAGTGAAATGTACTATCACTTACATCTTGAGTTTTATTTTTAAATTCACAGAAAATACGAAGAATACAGATGTCAGTGCACTCTGCGAAAGCTGGTGTAGGTTAAAGGTGAGAATAATCTGGTAGTAACAGAAAAAGGTAACACGGATCCACCTCACAATATTTCAATTTTTACTTCCTAATGCACAGCTCGTTCTTTCCTTAAATATTACAGCTGGTTCTTTGAAGAATATACTTTAAATGCTAAACAATATAGGAATGGTGCGAGCTTACCCGTGATTCCTCAGCCAACATTGCATTCATGTCCTGATCAGATATAGCTGCCATTAGTTTGATGTCTTGGTAGTACCTGAAAAACACACACAAGTTCAAACCTGACGACCAGAATTCGCTGTAACCGACGACGCGCAAGATAAAGTTCCAGCGTGGCAGCCAGCATTTACTAATTCAAGCGAAAATCCTAATCATTTCTCTCTCTCTCTCTACACACCCCTCTACTTTTCGCAACAACTTCTCTCCGCTGTCTACCCACTCCGCTGTCTACCCACTCCTCTGTCTACCCACTCCGCTGTCTACCCACTCTGCTGTCTACCCACTCCGCTGTCTAAAAAAATTGTCCAAAAAAATTGTGCTTTTCGGGTGTCATCTGGTGCATTCTGAGTAACGATTTGCCACTTTTCAAAACCCAATCCACCACACCTAATTTTTTATAATATTTATAGCCAGATATCTCTAGGTACTAGAACCGTGAGTCGCGTAAGTTTATAACCACGGCGATCCGTTTGTTATGACTATTTTGATCACATATCAAAACAAATCGAACATATTTATACCCAATATATATATAGCTACTATATA